TATGAGCTTTGCACCTTCGAAGTGAAAAGTACTTCTACAAGACTGGCAGGATTCTAATCATGTACTCACTCTGGATGTTGAGCAGATAGAAGTAGTCGAGAAGTTCTTGTATCTGGGTAGCTGCATAAGTGCTGGTGGTTGCGTGAGTGATGAGATCAATGCACGTATAGTGAAAGCCAGAGCGGCTTATGCCAATCTGGGTCACCTTTGGCGCCTTCGTGATGTTAGTCTGGCTGTAAAAGGTCGGATCTACAACGCGTCGGTGAGAGCAGTTTTGTTTCATGCTTGTGAAACCTAGCCTCTGCGAGTTGAGGACGTTAGACGACTTTCTGTGTTCGATCATCGTTGTCTCCGGAGGATTGCTGACATCCAGTGGCAACACCATGTTAGTAATGCAGAGGTTCGGCATCGTGTGTTCGGGCACAGAGATGATAATCCAATTGGTGTCACCATTTTGAAACATCGACTTCGGTGACTTGGACATGTTCTACGAATGTCGTTCCGGAGAAGTCCACGTCGTGCATTATTTGCCGACTCTGGGACTGGTTGGAAGAAGCGGAGAGGTGGTCAGTGCATGACGTGGTGTCGCGGTATAAAAGAAAGTTGCAAAGGACTGGCTTGTGTCAGTCCTTCACGACTCCCTGGTTGGGGTCCGAGAGATGGTGCAACGCAGTGGCTAGAGACGTTATCAGATATGGCTCAGAATAGAAGCCAGTGGCTATCCTGCTGTAACCGTCTTTTACTTCATAAAAACGTGGTTGTGTCTCCCTTAACTGAAAGATTTCTTCTGATTGAACCTTTCCGTTCCCCCATTTATACCATTATCATTATTACACCACCTTACATCAATCTCTTCGTTATTATTCTCTCTTGTTTTTCCCTTCCCCTTAAATTCTCATTGTTTTGTGTGGCGCATATATATTGGCGCTCTCTTGTACCAATATTTATGTGTTCAAATAAATAAATAATAAAATAATTTTTCATATTCTTTATATATAAATGTTATTTTATTTCTTAAAACTCATCTAGTTAGTGGTCTTATCTCTTGCCTTTGACTTCCAATTATTCGGAGACTTAAGTCAATAGTACGGTTTCGTAAGTAGTCTTCGCTTGACCATATTATACTTTTGGGTGCATTTATCGGTTAGCATTCTGTTCATTGATTTTAATAATAGGAAATTTCGTCTATGGCAAACTATTTTTGGCGGTTTTCAATCACGAACCGCTTTTAGACGAAGAACTAGACCCAAATACAAATTTGACAAACCGTCTGCTCATCGTGGACTTTGATCGAGACGATGTACATAAGGCTCTTAACACCTTAGATACGGAAACGTCAAAAGAACCGGATGAACTACACCTAAAAATCCTGAGACATTGTACAATATATCCCAGTCCCACTGACTTTGATATTCAATATGTCGCTTGGACAAGGTGTGTTACCTATGGACTAGAAGGATGCAGTCATCACTCAAATATATATAACAGGACCAAATCAACTTCCATAGAACTACAGACCTGTCAGCAGGCTCACCAGTGGGGCTAAAATACTGAATAGAATAATCAAAATGACCATAATCACATTTCTAAAAACCAATAGTTTATTAAGCAGCAAACAGCATGTTTTCAGAAAGGGTTGAATTTTTGCACAACAAAGCTCCTTATACCGATGGAGTATTGGATAAAGGCGCTAGACAACGGAAGCTCAGTGGTTGTTGTCTAGTACAGACCTCAATGTTATTACGCTGACGATGTAAAAGTCAGGCGAGAAATAAAGGGAGACGCAGATGCATGAGCACTTCGGACAGATTTAAATAATGTTATCAACTGGTCTAAAGAGTGGCTTATGCTTATCAAAGCGGTAAACTGTCTACATGCACGTTGGGGACACAAAGGTTAATAGGTACAGCATAGGGGAAGTGCCATTATTCGTGGTCCGGTCTCACAAAGATCTTGGGTTGACAGCGAGCCATGTTATTAAGACCACGGCCCACTGTCGGAAGGTTGCATCTAAGGGGTTTAAAACCCTCTGGGCTTTAAAACGGACATTCACCAAGCTAGATAATGCCGTGTTCACTACAGTTTTCACAACCTGATATGTCTTGTCGGACTGAACGCTACCTGTTATATCTGGTCGGCAGTGATTATTGTGTCGGGAACCCTTAACAGGTATACTTGAAAAGAGAGACCTCTGCAATTCCCACGACGCGAAAGTAAGAACGGAAAGACTGGTATAAGTGAGGATTTATGCAATCTGAAAACGCGATGATGACAACGGCCCTAGTCAAAAATACACTCATTTATATATTGATTGTACACACACTTTAATTGATAATTAGGATGAAATCACATATATGAAACATACTTAGATTTATAAAAATCACATGCTGAGCATAGTTCATGTTCATTGAATACAAAAATATCGCGTATTGTACAGAACAAAGTGTCATAAGTAAAAGCAAAACAAATGCTACACTGAATAATCATCACATTGAATGAAAACAGCATTTCTGAACGTTTACAGTAATGCCATGTTTTTGTAATCGTTCGAAAACAAGATCCAGATGCTTGAGATGTGATTATCTGTCCGGACTTGCGATTAGGCAGTCATCAACATACGCATGTACGAAGTTGAGACCTCGAAAAACGTCGTCTATGAATCTTTGGAATGTTTGAGCAGCATTCCTTAGACCGAAAGGCATTCGCAAAATTTCATAGAGTCCGAAGGGAATAATGATAGCTGTTTCCGGTATGTCGTCAGTGGCCATGGGAATTTGGTTATACGCTTTAACCAAGTCGATTTTCGAAAAAACAGTTGTACCTTTCAAGGTAGCTGTCAAATCGTGAATGTAAGGCAACGGGTAACAATCGGGAATGGTTTTTGCATTCAATCTCCGATAGTCACCAGTTGGACGCCAATCGTTGCTGTCCTTTTTAGGGACCATGTGCAACGGAGATGCATAAGGGCTATTTGACAGTCGTATGATTCCTAAGTCTATCATGTGATCGAATTCGTTTTTCGTTAACCTTAGCTTTTCAGGAGCTAGTCGTCGTGCTTTGGAGAATACAAGTGGTCCTGTAGTCGTGATGTGATGTGTAACGTTGTTGGTTACACACGGTAATTTCGATTGCGTTTGATGAATCCCAGGATACTTATCGAGTAGTGGTTGATTAAGTGGGTCTATCGTATGCCTAATTGTGACTGGAGATAATCTGCAACCAGAAAAAGAGGTTACGCAAACGGATAAATTAGTGTTTCCGTCTACTAGCCTCCGTTTGCGCGTATCGATGATAAGTTTATGGTGTTGTAGAAGGTCCATACCAATGATTGGCATAGAAACATCTGCAACAACGAAAATCCAGTGAATAGGTTTGCGTAATTCCACGTTCAGGTAAACGTACCTTTTGCCATACGTAGCGATCGGTTTTCCGTTTGCCGCCTGTAAGTTTAAAGTCGATTCGTGAAGCCGATCGTTAAGATTTGCTGGGAGAACGCTAACTTCTGCGCCAGTGTCGACGAGGTAGCGAACTCTCGTTGTCACATCTGTGACGTACAACAGACGGCTATGTTTGCCGGCTACGGTTGCCGTTAACGCGTGCCGGCTTGGAAGTTTCCCGAGTTGTTTTTCGAGTCAGTCGTTTTCGTGTTGGGAAAATTGCAGGGTTTTCTGAAATTCCTGGAGGACTTTCCATACTGGTTATGATACCAGCACCAGTCGGGGTTATCCGTCTCTCGTGGTCTAGATACAGATCGCTTACGTGAAATGCTTCTACGTGGGCTGTGTGAGCGATTACGGTCGTTACGAAGATTAAGATAACGCTACAAGCCTAGTAAAGTACACTCAGTAAACTACGAATGCAAAATTTCTTTTCGCGAACAACAGGAATCTCAGTTTAGTTTTTTTTATATATTTCGAGTAATGAAAGACATACGGACATTACTATTACTCTACATCTCTGCACGGCCTCCGCCGTTTTCAGATTGACTAATACCATCTCTAATTTATTGTGTCCAATTATCATGTTACGTATGTATATAATTGTCCTACTTCGATCATAAGTTTACTGAGCACCAACCATCTCTTGCATTTTTCTTCATACTGAATTTCTATTTGCTGAATTACTGAGTACTTCATCAAGCATATTACCACAGTTCCCGCCCGTATTAGAAGAGTGTTTCCTTCAACCATGAATCTTATAGACTCAAGCCAAATGAGTGGACGCGTATAGCAAATTTCTATCAACCTTAAATGGATTCTATTCAGCTGACGTGAACAAATAAGTATCAACAGAGGCATTTCGTAAAGTAAACATATTACAGCACAATACTGAAATGCATATCCACTAAGATAGCTGGATACATCGACTAGCTTCACCTCAAAACACATGATTCGTATAACACTAAGTCTGACGTGGGCTATCGTGTACAACAGAAATGTTTATTGACAGTCAATATCTTAATTCTCTTCACATCCTATTTGGGCTTGTTTGCACACCTAATTCAACCTAAGTGCATCCACTGAAGATATAATCAGTTCCTTTCATAAATTACCTATTTTAGGGAAAGGTAATACTTCGCCATGTTTTACCATATTTTTAACTGCTTTGTAATTTGAAAAGATTCTATGCTAATTCACTCTTATTCAAACAAACCATTCTAATCTGATTGACTACATCATGTAACAGCTGGAAGTTACAAAATAATCTGCAGTTATAAAAGTTTTATAGCACGTCTCCTAGTGATTTTCCTACCACAATTATCCGATAGTTTGAACAAGGATAAAACATAGTGGTTCCTAACTAAACTACACTTCAGAAGTTGAGACAATCTTTTGAAAAACTCAGCATAGTCGTTTTTAAATCAACTGTTTGGTCATTTACGAGCAACTAACAACTCTCGCTTTCCCAACAATAGATCAATATTAACAATAACTACTACGCGATATTCCATCGGTTTGTTGACACCCACTTACTTCGACGTAATTAAAACCGAAGATGTTACTAGATAACGTTACCAATGTTAAAAGTAGAAACTGGTAAATGTAATTCAGTATTATTTTCAAACCCAACTACGTTGGAAGAGATGAATAAAAACTAAACAGGCTATCAGTATACTAGAAACATCTAAAAAGCAAACAGCTCAGTCAAAACGCATATTTTTACAAAATGAATTTGAATGACACGATAACAATTTGACGACTAAATCATTTCGACTGTAACTGATATCCGTAGGAAAAAAACCGCCATTCGATAAAATGAATCGAGTAGAGAACGAGTGAAGAGATTGTTGAAAAGAATGAGACCAGAGTTTAACATAAGCATGAGAAATGAAATGACCTAGAATTCTGAAATAGGTTCCTTTAAATTACAACAAAAACCACTGAGTATTACTTAGAAAGTTGCAGTAAAAAGTATAATATGTAAATTTACAGATATAATGTTCAGTAAACGATCCAAATGGCACACCAATCACAACAAGTGAGAACAATATCGTATATATTAGATTGTGAAACTACACAAAAATTATATATATCAATTGTCAAAGTTACTTTTTGTTGAGGATAGCAAGGACAAATAAGTAGTAAAATGAATGATGAAATACAAGTAGATTATAAAAATGAAGTGAAGACGAACTCATTTGAATATTTTCTTCAAGTGGTAGCTGATCGATGTTGATATTGAATGACCAAAATAATCCAGTCACAACGTAACAAATGAACGACCTGAGGGAAAGTTTTGGAAAAAAGACAGTAAATTGAGCAATTACTAATAAAATATTCAAAACGGTAACATGAAAACAAAAGTTGAAAGTAGGGTATTCGTTTTTTATTTTCTGGTCTCATCTATTTTATTGCAAGATATGGTATTAATCTATGATGTTTATCGTTGAACTAGGTGGCGATGCTAGGTGCTTGAACCAGCTGATTGAGGTTTGTGTAATAACCGACTGTGACTGCTACCTTGATGTGTTGGTCGGGCTTGTCTATCGCGATGATTCAACCTAGCTATAATGGCTGAAACACATGCTTCTTTAGGTTCTACTAACTTAAGCAGGTTGGTTAGAAAACGGTGTAATAAAAAGCAGCAACTTAAGGCCCTTGAACGAAGTCGTACTGTGGACTACTGAGGAGTGTGAAAGTAGTAAGGTTTTCTTCTCAGAAAATCGGTCCTGCCTTCTCACAACGCAACGAAGGGGTTAGCAGAGGTCGACCCTAAAAATGTCACACCTCACCATAACCACACGGATTTCCATCTCCAGCGGTAAGGAGAAGCTAGTACATCAAAAACTCTCTATAAAAAACCCATGATGGGCAGGTCTAAAGCAGTTGTTCCTTAGACTCTGTGGTTATACTCCACAGAACCAACTTTTTATTCAGATCTTTCAGGAAATATCTCTTCACGGTTTATTTAACCGGGAAGTGACAACCACTTACAAACCTCCATCAGCACCCGAGATTATCTTGTAGACGATTGAATTAATAATACTTCCCCACAACTAACCCTTCTCTCATATAGTAAGCAACACGAGCCATCAATACCAATCGTTCGAGTTCATGAAATGCTATTAATGGTCTCCTAAAACTACGCTCTAAACTACATGCTCGGGTGTTCAATAATGAAACTATCAGATAAGACAACAGATTTCCTTAACTAGGGTACAAGAATCTCGCGCCATCGATCTATGCCACGTCTCCGATTGGAGCAATGGGTAGAACACTTTAGGGGACATTTTGACTTGCGTTCAGCAAGTCCAGTTACCCACAAATCCAAGCAACATGAATGGCAAACTGATGTAAATCCTCTAACTTCTAGTGAGGTGGAAAGGGCTACAAGTGATCTAAAGCGATGAAGGGCAGCAAAGACAGATGAACTAATTCCTGAGAAGTTTAGGTAGTGGTTCGGTTTCGGCAGCAAATTAACAGAAATCTTAGCTACAATCTGGAAAGTGGACGTAATCCCATCTGACTGGTCTCGATTGCTGATCGTCCTACTTTATCAAGAAATGACAAAAATCCTCTCGTAGCAATCACAAAGGAATCAGTTTAAGTAAAATGGTGTCTAAAATATTGGTCTCATTAAGAGCGAAGCTGAGAAAACTAAGCTAGTTTCAGACCTGGAAGTGGATGTATGGACTAATATTCACCCTTTGGAAGGTTTCGGAAAATAGAGGTGCTTTTCGACGTCGAATTATGGTTGTATTCCTTGACCTTATTAATCAGGCGTTCGATTCCGTTAATCGTGAGGTTCTGTGACAGTGTCTACCATTGAAAGATGTACACTAAAACTATGAAGGTTCACTGCTGGAACACTGCTAGTCGAGGCACATGTTATGGCGAACCGTCATCGGAATTAGTCACTTTAAGTGGTGTTTGTCACGGTTTTTCACTTTTCCCATTTTTATTTAACTCTGTCATAGACATGCTTTTAGAGATAGCTTTCATCGTCTGACCTTTCAGGTATTGATCTCCTACCAGTTGATTTACTTTGTGACGTAGATGATATCGTTCTGTTTATTGAAGGCCCTGGCAAAACGCAATCCTGACTGCCTTAAGTAACAATGCAAGCATGTTTGGGATGAGGTTTTCTTCTTCTAAATGAGAAATGTTACTTTTGGGTTGATTTGCATCATCGCCTAAATCAGTGATATGGAGTGAAGTACTTGAACCATCAGCTGCTCCAATTATCTTGAGAGTCTCATTAGTCCTGATAGTCTGACGAAATCTCAGCACGAATTCAGAAGACTCGACTGGCTTTTGACAACTTGAGTCACTTGTGGCGTAAGCAAGCAACCAAAGGGTGAGTTTACTGCGCAGCATTTCATTCCGTTCTACTTTATGGATGTGAAACATGGCCATTAGGAGGAGAGGATATTCGTACTTTGCCAGTATTCCATCACAGGTGTCAACAAAGTACTGCTCATGAATTTCGGGAGCACCGAATAAACAGTACATGGGTTAGGAATATAGTACCAGATGAAGATAAGGATAGTAAATCTCCATCAACTGAGGTAGTTAAGACATGTGTTACGTGGGGTCGACCACGCCTACCTTGACGAGTGTGGGAGTAGGTTGGGAGAAATATGTGGGAGGCAAAACCAACACATGTTACTATTCAATGAGGTCATTGATTACTGGCCTTAACTATGTTAACAGATGCAAACTACCTGGTTGAAGTACGCGTGATTATCGTCTCGAATGTATCTTCGATGACTAATCTTTATCATTACCACTGATACTGTTACTAACTAAAACGTTCTGAGATTTTGCCTGATAAGTTTTATCTCTCTGTGCAAATGGAACACGGCAACTCGAAACGATTTACATATGTACCACGTTCTATGTTGAGACTAACTAACTACATTAACAGAAAAAGCCCGTGGTCACTGTTGAAATTTTTTTACCTCGATATGATAAAATGGGGAAAAACGAGGCCGAATAATTAAAACAAACCAAACTTACGAAAAACAGAAAAAAACACCAGCAGGTGGATCCCAATCTAATTTCTAGCGTAACCACCTGTTCCCAAACGAGATATAATATTGATGAGACCATAAATTATACGCGAAATAAGTGCTGGACACTTAGAATGATAGGCTACATTCTGAAGTGCTATACGCAGTTCCAAAAATGCGTTACTGTAAAAAAAATAATACGTGAAACAACAAAATTTGAACCCGGATAAAATCGAAACAAAACAAAAGCGTAGCCCTTGATATCCTTGAGTCTTCTTTTACATTGTTACTTATGGGTAATGAGAACTTTGAAAAGACTAGTTTATGAAGCCTAGTTATTGCCAGACTTCACCAAGACGTCAAACAGCACATATGCAGCCTATGAAGTTACGACGATAATGTAAACAGAAAGAAATTTGTCCAAAAACAATCTTATTCAACTTTCCTATTTCATTTTTACTGTCTGGATTACAATGTTTTGTCATCCCTAAGGCGTTTGACAAGACAAAATGTATAATCACTTCACACCAAAAACTAGAAATATAAGAGACGGAGCAAAACATAAGTAACATGCAATGAATACTAGTCTTATTGAGTATTGGTATGTCTGGAGCTTTCACAAGGGTCATTAAGTCATTTTGGTAGAAAACAACAAACAACATTGTTAAACAACATATATCAACAGTTGAAAACTTACCGAGTATAAGGATTACGCCTTGAATTATAACGCATTTTCAAGAACGGATAATAAATAAAGGGGAGGACAAAAATTCTAGGTCCAGAAACAGCCATAAATATACAGATTACCATCAACATGATTTCATTTAAGGCAATGATACGTAAGATATTTTGGTCATGTGCTTTCACTTTATCAATTGATTTTTGTATTATTTGATGTATACATGACATATTCGATGAAGCAACTGGAGCATCCGAACCATCACTCGTTCCGCCGTTATTCAGAGAAACAGATGTCTGGAGCATGAACAAATAAGTAAGGTATATTTCTGTGCTTATAATGTGATTTACAAAACCAAGAGATTTTATCAAATGAACTGATTATTTGAGTACCATGTTGAAAGTTTTATTTAAAAATATTTTTTCAACTGAGGCTTGAAAAATAAACATTGCAAACAGTGGATGATGGATGTATAGAGCTAATTGTTTCTTCATAGCCCTGATTTTCGATTATGAATTTACGAAACGACAGTGATCGAGAGAGGAGACATTTTACGTAAACAAACAATTTTTATCATTAATTTTTGTGTGTATTTTTCCGTTAGTGTTGAGGACTGGATTTTAATCGGTCGCTTTTGGCATAAGTGCTTCCTGAGAGGAGCCCCTTGACAGTGTCGTTCAGCAGCAAGCAAAGGGCACTGCGTTCGAATGTTGGAGTGAATATCAGCATTGGGATCCAGATAAATGTGGTCGTTTCAAATAGGACGAAAAGCGTGTTCTAGGTTTCAGTGCTAATCATTAGTCACCTATAATTAAACAACTTTTAGTGGAAGATTTCAAAATACCGTCCAGAAGGTAAAGATATTCAAAAACCAAAACAATCTTCCAATAAAAAATCAGAAATCATATGGATAATGTTATATCCGAGCGAAGATTAAATCACAAGTAACTTCTGAGACATATTAATTGACTAATATTATCTATACATTCTTATGGTATAACTATTCAATAATTAGATAATGTATATTTATATTCCTCTTATTATAAGCTTTATTTTGACCTATAATTTATTATTGTACAACTTACTGTTCGTAAGCTATGTTCAGTTTATTGACTATTGCCTTCCACGTTCACAGTGACTTTTTGGTTTTATTGTGTACAAATGTTATTTCCTATTTTATGGTGCGTTGGGATCTGTTTGATTGATATATAAACCCAGTATGTCTGAAATAAATGATTCGATTCGCATAGTGAAAGCTGGTATTGTTGTTCTGGACTCAAGTGGACGGGCTAGGCGGATATAGGACCAATAAGGACGCTAGGCTGCTCATACCGGTCGAACGTCATTGGTTTGGAACAGTGCTAAGATTGTATAAGTCGTATTTTGATTGGTGGATAAATCACGTGATAAAAAGCCGGACATAAAGTCATAACAGATGGTTCAACAGAATACAGAAATAACAGGAAAAGGAAGTTTTTATTTCTTTTAAAATGTTGCTATTATATTCTGGTGATCAACATCAACTAACATGAACTCATCTCCGATATAAGAATATTGTATTTAATGTTATATTGATACACGTATGAATTTAAAAAAATAGGATAAAAACAGAACTAATGGATGCTACAACAAAAGATTATAGGTTGTGATGTACGATCACTTATAATTATTCCTATTGTGAAAATTGAGAAAATTCTGAGATGTAAACGATGAGGAATTTTCAAAATAACTTACATTTAAAAGAACCCTCGTGAAGCTGGCCGCATGTAAGAGGGCGAATAAGAAGATCGGCACCAAGGAAACTAAATCAAAAGAGAGAATTTCACGTGTTAAAACTCTTGTCAGTTGGCTTAATTACGTTAACTATGGTCCCATTAGCACGATTCAATTGAAGGCAAAAAAACTTGAAACTGAATGCGAATGAATCAGGGACGGACAATGTTTAGTGTAATAGGACGTTTAACATTCAAAGATAGAAGCAATGTTGAAAGTCAAATCACTCACTTTCCAAGCATCTACGGAACCCTAAACATGACAGATAGGCAGAAAGGGACAAAAACAGTATGGCACAATATAAATATGAATTATATAAAGCCATACCCAATCGAAATCAAGACAGGAAGGGGGTATCGATGAGAGAAAGAAAATGTAAGAGTAACAATATCAGCAGTATTGAAAGATCAAAATAAGCTAATTTATTATATTTTCAAGTTAGTCTGATTATCCGTCTAATTTATTTTACTTACTATTAACTGAAGCATAGCAAAAGAACTCTCACTAAAATATTCATAGTCTGAAAACTAATTATCAACGACTTCAGATAATATTAATACTCGTGAAATATTCAAACCTCCATAACAGCACAACTGTACGATTAAATACATGGTTATATTTAACCAAAGAAAGTTGTACTAATTTAAATTTCGAGGAACACGATTCACTCAATAAACACATATACCAAACTGAAACTAAGCAGCATCTTTTATGTGGACTTTGGTTGTCCTACATAACATTTTGGATGATAAAAGCATGCTTGAATCAAAACATGTGAGGTGTAGAAACGTAATTTAGGACTATAATAAACTGAAAGTGTGGTGTTAGATGGACGGTTCAGCAGTACAATGCAGAAACAGAAAGCACTCTTTATAAAATATTTAAGCGACAAGGCAAACAAATATTTATCATAAAGAATACCGCGTCAAAAAGGTGCATAAATTTAACAGCCTAAAAATGATACCTGTAACTGGTGGTAATACAGCAAACATAATGGAAAACAGCAAGTAGTGAGAAGAATCCTCAGAGATTAAGACCTCTAGGACTTCTCGAGAGAAACCTGTATTCAAACTTTTTATTCGTTGATGTAGACGTAGGGCTGAAGTCGCCGCACTTGCTAACAATGCTCTTCGATACCAAACCTCCAGATCTGATGGGTGCAAACGGGAAAAAATTGGCGCAAAGAAGAATACGACACAGCAGAACAGCGTTCCCAAACGAGCAAAGTACATAGCAGTATTGACATAGTCAGACTTTAAACGAGCCTGTAAAATATGACATTTTAAGAAAACAATTCTTAAGCTAAACTGATACAAGCAGAAGCATACAACTTGGTGAAAAAAGCAGAAAAGTTATTCTCTTACTAGAATGATGCATACATGTCCATTTAACTGGCGTAGGATGTCAAGATGGACTGAATATGGATATTCAAGTTCCTTATCGTTTCATGCGACTTGCTATACGTTTTACAGGTGTGTTGTTCATTACAAGAGTAATAGGCAATTAGCTCAGCAAACTATGCTTCAGTGTTTAATAAAAATTTATATAACCATTCGCAGTTATTATTATTATTATTAATGGTTTTATTCAATATTATATTTTGGTACGATATACAATTCTCAGCACAAGGTACTTCAACAAGCTTCCTTTACAAAAAAACAAAGACGAAGACAAAGAAGAAAGGGAAAAAGGTCAAAAAAATCTGAAACACTGTACAACTTTCAAGACATGTTAAGAATGCATGTTATTGACTAGGTTAACTCTAACAACCTGTTCGTCACAGAGTATATTTGCTAGGTAAGGTATTATAGAACTTTTATAATTTTGCTTGCGTGCATGGATTTTGATGTAACTACGTCTTGTTCTACCAGAAGATATGTAAGCAGAAAGATATGAGTGAAGGGGATGGTTAGTATCTGATAAGATAATACCTGCCAAGAGTTTGCCTGTCTACAACCATATTAATTATGACCTCGAAAGACTAAACACACACTTTGCTAACTACCTTCAATACTCTCCGCAATACAACAAAGTCTTTTCTCAAAAGTCCGGGAAAGAATAATGGAGAATAATAGGTAATATGCAAGAATTGACAAATTGTAAGAGTAAATGACGAGCAACCCCAAGAGCATGCAGTTTCTTTATGAAGTAAGTCAGACGGAAAACTTTCTTCAATAACAATAAAACGTGAGAAGACCAAGGGTGATCAGAGGGAAAGGTAACACCAATAAAATTGACCTTCGAAACTGTGTTTATCAAAGAGTTTCCAATGATACAAGCAATATGGGATCCCAAAGTGGAGTTTAGATGCCCTTCATGTCTAACGCTAAAGTTAACAATCTGACATTTAGACGGATTAAGTATGAAACCATTAACAACAAACCAACAATCAATCCGAGACAAAAACTCATTCATTTTTATGGGATGTAAAGAGGCAGAGATAGGCATGCATACAGTGAGAACATCCGCATATTTCACAAAAGTGTTTACTGTGGAAGATGGCAGATTATGCATAAAAAGAGAATAGAAGAGGTGAAAGAACAGCTCCTTGTGGTACACCTTCCTGAGACAGTGGAGACTCCGAACACTTTCCTCCAAACACAGTGTACTGTTCCCTTCCAGAGAGGTAGGAACATAGCCAGTTGGTTATCCAGCTGTCAGTGTTGACGCTGATTAACTTGTTAAGTAAACGTTGTCTTGGTATAGAGTCAAAAGCTGAAGTATAGTCCAGAAAAGCACAACGAACATAATTCTTACCCTTTTCTAAGTTGAACACTATATTGTGATGCAGAACAGCAACGGCATCTAAGGTGCTTCTTTTGCATCTGTAAGCAAACTGATACGGATTAGTGTGCTCTTTTATCGCGGGCTGAATTGGAAGTATCAATAATTTTTCCACTGTTTTGAGGAAGGGTGAAGTTATTGCAATAGGCCTAAATTTCATATTCTTATCACTAGATACATTCTTGCGTACGGAGATTATCTTTATCTTTCTCCACATTTTCGGTGTGAGATTAGATGAGAAGGATTTGTTAAAGATAGTCGTGAATGGATAACATAGGACGTCGTGCTTAAATAACAACTCTCATATCGTTCTTTATACATAATCTTTACTGTTATGAACAGACAATACGGCTTTCATAATTTCATATCGCTGTTATGTGGTGTACGAACATGAGCCGACGTATGTGTATGCCAAGTTCTACGTTCCTTACAACTGACTGACACATTTTTGCATCCTTACAGTCAGTCAGTAACAACGTAGAACTTCGTACGTACGTACATAAGTTCGATTCGCCACACCACATTAGCACAGAGATGCAGTGGTCGATTCAAATCCCGTAGTGGTAGAGTTAGTAAGAGTATAAGTAGTAATCGGAAACATTGGAGTTTGAAGATGTTATTCAAGGATTTTAATACAGTAAAATAAATTTGGAAAGAAAAAGCAGAAGGGGACATGAAGAATTCAGAAGATTAGAATTTGGGAGAACACAAAGAGTGGATACATCTGCGCCATTGCAAACGATTTTGAGCCATGTCATTCAGGGTCTCTAACCATCGATGGTCCCAGGATATACGAGCAATATTTCGAAGACACCTATGATCAAATATTAGTAACCTACGAATATCCTCTACTATTACCGGCCATATTTCACTGTCATAAAGCAGGACGGAAGAAACTGTTGCACAGTAAACACGTCTTTTGGTTGATAGATGGATATCTCGCCTACGCCATAAATGACGCAAGTTAGCAAAAGCTAGTCGAGCCTTCTGTATTCGTGCTGAGATTTCGTCACACACCAGACTACAAGGACTGATGAGACTTCCAAGATAAGTGAAGCGATCGACACACTCAACTACTTCACTCCCTATCATTAGTTCGGGTGACAATGCAACCCAATCCTGAAGCATTATTTTGGATTTCGAGGGGGAGAATTGCATTGTTGCTTAGAGTGGTCAGAAGACTCTGCATTTTGTCAGCGTCTTCACCAAATAAAACTATGTCATCAGCATATTCTAAGTCAACAAGTGAACCTCCCGGTAGAAGTTCAAGCCATGGAAATTTAGACGAGGAAAGTGTTATCCCTAAAAGTACGTCGACGACAAAGTTGAACAAGAATGGAGAGAGTGGACAGCCCTGACGAACACCACTTGAGGTAATCAATTCTGATGACAGTTCGTCGTAAGCTCTCACTTGACTAGTTGTGTTCGAGTAGGGAGCCTTTATAAGGTTAATGTACTTCTTTGGTACTCCTTTCAGTAACAAACACTGCCATAGAACCTCACGATCAACAGAGTCGAATGCCGCCTTAAGGTCGAGAAGTACTACCATTGTCGGGCGTGAGGTGTTCCCCTTGGACAACTAGCATCTGCGGCGATACTGCCTTTTCACAGGGATGGAAGGGGTTAGAAAAGGTTGACACTCACAATGTCACACCTCACTTTACCTCATGGATTTCCGTCTACAGTCGTAAGGTCGCTTGAAGAACGGAGCCAACACACTAAACCTTATATATATATATATATATATATAACATATATACAAAACGTACTACCCCTAGATTAACATTAGTTGATGAGGTTGTTAATCTTCATCGACTGAGATGGTTGGGCCACGTGTTACGTATGCCTGAACACCGATTACCACGTCGTGTAATGCTAACAGGTGTTAGAAATGGTTGGAAGAGAATTAGGGGCGGCCAAACCAAAACGTGGCATCAGTGCTTGAAGACACTAACCTCTAGTCTGAGCCATGTTGGTAGATGCAGACTACTTGGTTGGGGTCCGCGTGACTTTCGTAACCAATGGTTGGAGACTCTTGGTGACATGGCTCAGAATCGGTCACAATGGCGTCGGTGTATACACTCCCTGTCTTCCCTTAAACTAAGAGATTAAAATCGCTTCATTCTTTCTACGAACCAATTCTATATTCTGGTACTGTATCCTTATATGCAATCTTTCTCCTATATATTACCACCTTTAACCTAACCACTCCTATGAATCCGGTGTTCATCTTGCTGTGCTAATGAGGTATGGCAACCTGGACCGATGCATATATGTGCCTGGTCCTACGTTGTAGCTGACTGACTGACTGACATTGGTTTTACTGTTACCAAACGTATATTAATGTATAACCAAGACGAGTAAATAGAAACAAGTGGCTAGTAGTTGGGACATTTGTAAGGTAGGCTCAACCACGCCTACCTTGACGAGTGTTGTCTAGTATGGGAGTAGGTTGGGAGAAATATGTGGGAGGCAAAACCAACGCATGTTACTATTCGATGAGGTCATTGATTACTGGCTTTAACTATGTTAACAGATGCAAACTACCTGGTTGAAGTACGCGTGATTATCGTAATCAGTGAACAGAAAATTGGAATAAAGTGGCTCAAAACAGTTGCAATGGCACAGATGCATCTGTTTCACTGTTATAATTATCAGTGTAAAGAGTAGTCCTTATTTTCAAACTAGTCACGAAGAAATAAGAGCCGCATACATACTGCACTTAAACGGAACAGTCAAAAAGACTAAAACAAAATTTTGGCTCAGAAATAAAGTGAGAGATTAATAGGTGGACGGTAGGCTACGTTGAATAACAATTCGGAACTGCTTACAACGATGCACTTGCATCCATTCCTCATCTTGCTCCGCATTTACGATATCAAATCTCTATCACCGATAACACCTCTGCTGTTTGGGGTTTAGCCTGGAAATCCTTACCTTGCTGTGCCGATTAGGTACAGCAACAAACTGGAAATCAGCATATGACCAACCATAAATGTTTGCTGAACGGATATCATAATATATCACAATATCAAGTCGACAGGATGGGACGTAACTCAAGAGGACAAGTGAGACTAAGTAATAAAAAGTATGACCGAGAACAATTAAAACGATTTTTAAAGAATTACTTGAGGTCATAAGCAAACGATTCATACGCAGGACAGAAAACGACGAAAATATTACTGTGGATGGCAAGACAGTTAATCCATGCGTTTAGCTACATATCTTTTAGAACACCGTAGTTGTTGAGCCATAAATACGGACACGATTCATACATAATATTATTACAATACGCAACACACAACTCATAAAAGATTTTGTACATCTGAACATTAAATTGTACTTCAAAAACTTACAAATAAAGTATTTTGTTGTCGAACACTACCAGAAACCTCATTACTACTTGGCATCTCGATCCCCCAACGTATATTTTAACGAAAACCGCGCCAACAAGCAAAGGAATATGTGAAATTCACAATTTGACAAAAAAAGAAATAAATGGGTCTCTGACTCGGTAACCTCGTAAGATCCACCGTCTGACATATTCGTGAGCCAAAGTTGTGAAGCTACTTCTCAGATCACCATTATGTATTTCCTTTTTTTGGTATGTTTCTATGAGTGTTCAGTCTTCTCTTAAATAAGTCAACTGAAAGTGCGGTCCAAAAATTGGTGACTCGGTGTGAAAACCTGTATGCCATGGATATTTTGTTCGTTCTTGACTTTTCCACTAGCCTGCTATGTCTTCTGAGATGTCCCGATCTAATGAGATTGTAGCGGTAAACAAATCCCCAAACTAAATAGCTTTGTAAGTGTTCGACATTGGATGCTGACCATATGTTTTAGTGGACTCATCTAGCTGAAGGTGCTCGGTCATGCATCCGCACCAGATCACATGTGGTAACGCTGTGTTCAACATCTACCGCAATCGCTAGCCAGATTAGATCAGAGAATTCCGATATATTGGTTATCCCCAAATACACTCTTCCGATCTCCTCGACTCTGTCTTTTGATTTCTCTCGGTGGGTACAACTTACATTAGAAGGTGTTGCTGGTAAAAGCGTTGTCAAACACTGTTGTACGTCACAGATGTGACAACGAGAGTTCGCTACCTCGTCGACACTGGCGCAGAAGTTAGCGTTCTCCCAGCAAATCTTAACGATCGGCTTCACGAATCGACTTTAAACTTACAGGCGGCAAACGGAAAACCGATCGCTACGTATGGCAAAAGGTACGTTTACCTGAACGTGGAATTACGCAAACCTATTCACTGGATTTTCGTTGTTGCAGATGTTTCTATGCCAATCATTGGTATGGACCTTCTACAACACCATAAACTTATCATCGATACGCGCAAACGGAGGCTAGTAGACGGAAACACTAATTTATCCGTTTGCGTAACCTCTTTTTCTGGTTGCAGATTATCTCCAGTCACAATTAGGCATACGATAGACCCACTTAATCAACCACTACTCGATAAGTATCCTGGGATTCATCAAACGCAATCGAAATTACCGTGTGTAACCAACAACGTTACACATCACATCACGACTACAGGACCACTTGTATTCTCCAAAGCACGACGACTAGCTCCTGAAAAGCTAAGGTTAACGAAAAACGAATTCGATCACATGATAGACTTAGGAATCATACGACTGTCAAATAGCCCTTATGCATCTCCGTTGCACATGGTCCCTAAAAAGGACAGCAACGATTGGCGTCCAACTGGTGACTATCGGAGATTGAATGCAAAAACCATTCCCGATTGTTACCCGTTGCCTTACATTCACGATTTGACAGCTACCTTGAAAGGTACAACTGTTTTTTCGAAAATCGACTTGGTTAAAGCGTATAACCAAATTCCCATGGCCACTGACGACATACCGGAAACAGCTATCATTATTCCCTTCGGACTCTATGAAATTTTGCGAATGCCTTTCGGTCTAAGGAATGCTGCTCAAACATTCCAAAGATTCATAGACGACGTTTTTCGAGGTCTCAACTTCGTACATGCGTATGTTGATGACTGCCTAATCGCAAGTCCGGACAGATAATCACATCTCAAGCATCTGGATCTTGTTTTCGAACGATTACAAAAACATGGCATTACTGTAAACGTTCAGAAATGCTGTTTTCATTCAATGTGATGATTATTCAGTGTAGCATTTGTTTTGCTTTTACTTATGACACTTTGTTCTGTACAATACGCGATATTTTTGTATTCAATGAACATGAACTATGCTCAGCATGTGATTTTTATAAATCTAAGTATGTTTCATATATGTGATTTCATCCTAATTATCAATTAAAGTGTGTGTACAATCAATATATAAATGAGTGTATTTTTGACTAGGGCCGTTGTCATCATCGCGTTTTCAGATTGCATAAATCCTCACTTATACCAGTCTTTCCGTTCTTACTTTCGCGTCGTGGGAATTGCAGAGGTCTCTCTTTTCAAGTATACCTGTTAAGGGTTCCCGACACAATAATCACTGCCGACCAGATATAACAGGTAGCGTTCAGTCCGACAAGACATATCAGGTTGTGAAAACTGTAGTGAACACGGCATTATCTAGCTTGGTGAATGTCCGTTTTAAAGCCCAGAGGGTTTTAAACCCCTTAGATGCAACCTTCCGACAGTGGGCCGTGGTCTTAATAACATGGCTCGCTGTCAACCCAAGATCTTTGTGAGACCGGACCACGAATAATGGCACTTCCCCTATGCTGTACCTATTAACCTTTGTGTCCCCAACGTGCATGTAGACAGTTTACCGCTTTGATAAGCATAAGCCACTCTTTAGACCAGTTGATAACATTATTTAAATCTGTCCGAAGTGCTCATGCATCTGCGTCTCCCTTTATTTCTCGCCTGACTTTTACATCGTCAGCGTAATAACATTGAGGTCTGTACTAGACAACAACCACTGAGCTTCCGTTGTCTAGCGCCTTTATCCAATACTCCATCGGTATAAGGAGCTTTGTTGTGCAAAAATTCAACCCTTTCTGAAAACATGCTGTTTGCTGCTTAATAAACTATTGGTTTTTAGAAATGTGATTATGGTCATTTTGATTATTCTATTCAGTATTTTAGCCCCACTGGTGAGCCTGCTGACAGGTCTGTAGTTCTATGGAAGTTGATTTGGTCCTGTTATATATATTTGAGTGATGACTGCATCCTTCTAGTCCATAGGTAACACACCTTGTCCAAGCGACATATTGAATATCAAAGTCAGTGGGACTGGGATATATTGTACAATGTCTCAGGATTTTTAGGTGTAGTTCATCCGGTTCTTTTGACGTTTCCGTATCTAAGGTGTTAAGAGCCTTATGTACATCGTCTCGATCAAAGTCCACGATGAGCAGACGGTTTGTCAAATTTGTATTTGGGTCTAGTTCTTCGTCTAAAAGCGGTTCGTGATTGAAAACCGCCAAAAAATAGTTTGCCGTAGCCTCTGTTTTTTTCCTGATCTTTGTCCATCATTTCAAATCCAATCTCTTCTTTAATTAAGTTGAAAATTCGTTGCCACATCGGTGCTTTGTAATTTGTATACGAGAACAGTTTCTTAAGCTGATTGAGTGCATATTGTGCTAACTGCATCTCATATTTTCTTTGAGCTTCCCGGATTCTAACCATATACTTGTTCCTTACTGACCTGCACCGTTTCATAGTACTTGCTGTGTCAAGGCTGATGGCAGAGTTTCAATATTTCTTCTTTCGTCTTAGTAAACGTAAAATATCTCGGCTTATCAAAGGATGGTTGTGCTTCTTATTCTTTAGGACAGTCCAGAGTATGTATGTTTGAGGTAACCGATTCTATAGCTTCCAGAAACGAGTCTATGCCTCTTCAACTGATGTCTCTGAGTCAATTTCGCAGTTTTCATCCAATGTTGCAGTTTATCGCCTCCATGTCTGCATTCCATATCACAGTACAAACCGACAAAACTGTTTGACAGAACATCACAGCCATGAATTTCAATAAGACGACTGCATAATCGCTTCTCTCCAGAGCCCATAGGGAAGTCATTTGACCTACTTCATCACCGTTTGTGAAGACTACGTCCAAGAGAGACGAGAAGCTTTGTAGGTCAAAGCTGGTGTGATCTCTAAAGTGCTGTAATAAAACTAGTGTAACTGAACTTTCAAACACCTTGCAATCAAATGACGTTGTTTATCACCCTACTTCCAAGTTTACCCAGTTTATAAACAGTGCATTGAAGTTGCCTACTGTATGTCATTTAACCTATAACATCACGTTTTAAGTTTGCTGAAGAGGAAGTCATCTACTACACATTCTGGAATGCGATAAAATACAACTAATTCCATATCATACCGTTTATATTTCAGCCTGAAACGCACCAGTTTTCATGTCTCTGTACCATGCAATTTTAGTCAAAATTGGCAATATGAGGTCAAGTGAATGACCACACTAGGATCTTGTATGCGTGTTTCGGAGACACAGCACACATCAATGGTACGAGATTCTAGGGTTTTAGCTGAGGAGACCTGCTGATCGATTTGACATAGGGTGCGTATGTTGAAGGCTACAATGTGTAGTTTGGAGCGAGGTTTCATTAGCCCTGGACAGTGTTTTGCGCACTAGAATCATTGACCATAGTGACACTTGAGAAAGAAGTTCAGAGTTTGAAAGCCGAGGTAGGAGGAATAATAGAAATTGGAGAGGGAGATTAATTATGAGTAGAGTGTGTATGATCCATTTTGAGTGCTTTGTGTGTTTGGGAAAATCCCTCCATGTATTTACTTGCACTTTGTTCCTATTGATTCTCTTAGTTGTACGTTGTTAACTTTCTGACTACATTTGAATTGTTAATATTTGTATTTTATTATAGTTTTTGTTTTTACTACACTTTCACTAATTCCCCGTGTTTATTCCCGAACTGCGTTTATGTCGTTTTACTTTATACTAAGTCTGGGCGGAAACCATATTGGTTTGTTACTGCTTTTGATTGCTTGACCTGTGTTGGCTTGAATTGTGCATTTTGGTTGTAAATTGAGGCATTATTCCAGAATTGAAAACATACTGTGTTATAGAGCAACCACTTATTATCTTTTGGACGAATCTGTACGTGATCTATCCAGACAGGATAGAATAACATTTATTTGTGGTGATTGGTAATTTTCTTGCATCCTTTATCAACTTTCTTATTTATTGTAATTTAAATTTGATCAATTGAACAATTATTGGTTGGATAGCTGAGTGGATATATTTATTGAGGTAATAATGTACACTGAAATTTATGATAAAATATAGAACCGCGATCTGACCCAATTACATTGTTTTGGTTTCAAATGGGTGAGGGCGCGTATCTAACTCATTCAGACAGCTGTCCATCAGTCGAACCGTAGTTTGGATCACACACAGTAATCTCGAGTGCGGAAATAAATGGTATAAATCACTTATCGAGTTCGGAATTATTTACTCGGCTTCGAACTACATGCTGTGTAACGGCTAGCAATGACAACTTGTTATCCGAGTAGGAACAAAGGACAGATTCGAACTTGGGAATTTATGGTTGGACTTTAAATTATTTAACCACTAAAATATCAACACCAAAGTGATGGGACAAAGAATGCTCATTTTGTCATAAGCGTAAATTGAACGATATTTTAACTCAAAACTCATTCGGTATCACGAACAGTTCTAAGATATACAAAATTTGTAATTCATATTATGCAAACCTCTACCAGCCAGTATAGCTCGATTAGTTCATTACGATAAGCAATTCTGACCACAACGTCAAGGTAGCAGCAACGGTTGTGCATTGATACATGAGTCAGATTTTTAGGGATTAAACGAGATATGATATATTTGCTCTAGTCGGTTCTGTGCAACCTTAAAACTCATATTTCTATCATACGATATTCCCTACATTTTATATACAGGTATGCAATAACGGGATCTTACGGCAACCTCTTTCATATATTTGACCGTCACAATGGCTCTGATTGGTTGTATGACCTTGACGATTCAAGCGATCCTTATCACACGAATTCTGCATGTAATACTGAGAGTTACTTATCGCCTAAACGTTTTATGTCTCCTGATGATCCCATTGGAAGTCGATTGGGTTTATCTTCAATTTTCGTAGCACCATTGGATGCTGTGGAAGCTCTCTTTCCAGAAACGACGAGTCAAACCAGTTCGCATAGCAGCTATAGTGATAATAATGATTGGAATAAATTTGACGATAGTTCGAACACCTCAGAGGTGTCACCTGGTAGAACAAAGCTATCTAACTGTCAATTAAAAGATCTCAACGCTACAGAGAATACTCCCTCAGCACCTCCAACAGGTTCGAAGCGTCGAAAGCAAATCCTTCCTTCTCGTGCTGATAATTCTACTGATTCTCATTGTGTTGTACAAAGTGAACACGAGAAGGCCCGTAGTTGTCATCACAAAAGTAAACATCGTAATCGCAACAAGCATTCTCAATGTGATATGATAGAGAAATGTGGATACGGCGTTAGTTCTTCTTGCACAGTACCGAACTCAAATGATGGTCATGAGTTATCAAGTGTCACTTTAACTTCATTGCCTGTCAAAATAACGTCTATCGAAGAATTTCAATCAGGGACACCAACTATTCCTGGAATGCACCAGATACACTGTCAACGTAAGATACTTCACTTATCCTGGCACCCGAAGAAATTCCTTACAGTAGCTCTATCGGGCAATCAGATGTTTCTTGTTTCAGGTCAGCCGACATTTAGTGGTACATTGCCCTCACAGAAGGATTCGAGTCGTTGCTCATCCTGTTTATCTAAGTCAACTGACGATGAGAACAACATACCTAGTGGACATTGTGAAACAGGCTATATCATCTGCGTATTCTAAGTTCATAACTGGATCTCCTGCTATGAGATCAATGACTGAAAATTCAGTCGACGGGGACGTTATTTCCATCAGTAGGTCTATCATGAAGTTGAAGAGAAATGGAGAAAGTGGACAGATTTGATGGATATTACTTAAAGTTACGAAAGCAGATGATATTTCGCCAAAAGCTCTGACTCGACCAATAGCGTTCGAGTAAAGAGTCTGCACGAGGTTCATGTACTTCTGAGGTACGCCTCTCAATGACAGAAACTGCCACAGAATTTCGTGGTCCACATGGTCAAATGATGCTTTTAATTCAAGAGAGACCAACACTGTCAGATGCCGATAAGCATGCCTGTGTTCTAGAACCTGACAGATGGTGAATATGTGGTTGATTCAACCACGACCAGGTCTGAAGCCGGCTTGATTTTCACGCGTTTGCACTTCACGCGTCTTTGTTAGGCGTCTGGCATTTATTGAGGCTAGTATTTTAGATGATATGTTTGTCAAACTAATCACGCTTTGGTTGTCACAGTATGATTTTGACCCCTTCTTATACATTGTGATAAACAGTGATTGTGACCAATCAGTTGGAATTGAGTCCAACTCCCAGATTTCAGCTAAAATATAAGCAAACCTAATAGCTACAATTGAATCAGCATACATGAAGAACTCTGGAGCTAATCCATCTTGACCAGCTTCTCTTCCCTGTTTCAGATTAGCTATAGGCATTTGATCTTCAATTAAAGTCAGGGACCTACCTCAATGTTCCATTCCGGCTGTTTGGCGATGGTGGGTGGTCGTCAAGCAGCTGATGGTCAACTAAACTACATAAAGTGTCCCACCCATCGCTCTAAACGCCTGAGCTGAGGACATATAAGAGTACCGTCTTTTTCCGAGATCATCTCACTTACACTTGACATCTTAATCCCGGTTTCTTTTATTAGTCTTTAAAGATGTTTGGTGTTACCCACAGCCACCGCCTTTACTATGCCAGAAAAGCAGTAACATAGGCCATAAACCTTCTATCGTTACCACACAAATCTGAATAATCAACAAATGCAATTTACTAAATCAACACGTGGTTAGAGCTACATATTTCGATGCTTTCAAAAGGAAGATGGATCAACTGATTGACAAAAATTGCAAGGACTGGAATAGACTACATAGTATATTGTCCTTTCCAAAACGGAACTGACAAAATAATCAATTCTATGTTGATGGGTTTAGCTAGGCAAACGTATTTCACGAAAATTGATAGGAAAGAAATCGTAAATAATTGAATTTTAATCAAGAAGTGGGATTAAATCCTTCTTTCTACTTCATCATACTTGTGTTTAATAATATCAATTAACAGCTAAGTTTGTTCTATTTTCAGATTCACTCTTGGATCAGCTGTTGCGGTGTTTTCGAATCAGTGGCGCTTAAATGACGAATGAGGCGATATTCCGGTGTTTCTGTGTAAATTATGAATAAGACTCTGTGTGGTAGGTCATCTAACAAGCGACTCCATATTTTTGCGTCAGGTTTTTCCAGTATGTAAAACGTAACACTTGTTTTCGGCAGCTGCTCTTGAGGTTATAACCTTATAAGGTTATAACCTTTAAGTTAATTAGCTTCACTTCAGCCATATAGTAGCTTATGAATAAAACATCTGAATCAATACGTAATCTTTAATAAAGTCTTTTTTCATCATTTAAGGAACAATGGCTTGTCATGCTTGGAGGTATGTTGCATATGATTGGATGTGAGTCACTATTTTCGTGCTAAGAATACAAAGTTTCGGGGACCAAAAATAGACCGAATAAACTTATTCAACATTGACTGATGCCTATTTTTTTACTTTAACAATGAGAGCCACTAACCTTAAGTATCACATCATCTTTGGTAGTAATTCATACGGAGCAACGAAAATATACGCAACAATATTGTATAACGAAGGAAGATAATGATATACTAATGTTTCTGGGGTAATAAACTTTAAATCTCCCGACTTTAGCACTTTCTGTAGTTATTCAATAAGCTGATAATATGGATTAACGTATATGATAAATATGTAGTGATTTGTATATAATTGTTTTGGTCCTCATAGCACGGAGTTTTCAACCATCGGTTTCGATAGTTACGTGGACCCCAAACAAGTAGTCTGCATCTACCAACATGTCTCAGATTAAAAGTTAGTGACTTCAAGCACTGATGCCACGTTTTGGTTTGGCCTCCCCTAACTTTCTTTCAACCATCCACAACACCGGTTAGCATTGCACGTCGTGGTAATCGGTGTTCAGGCATACACAACACGTGGCCCAACCATCTCAGTCTATAAAGATTCACAACCTCATCAACTGACTTACCATCATTCCATGATACCCTGCATCTAACGTCACTAATACTTACCCGGTGATCGCAGCAGATGCGAGCAATATTTATAAGGCGTCTGTGGTCAGCCGTAAAGTCGGGGGCACACTTCAATGTTCCATTCCGGCTGTTTGGCGATGGTGGGTGGTTGTCAAGCAGCTGATGGTCAACTGAACTACATAAAGTGTCCCACCCATCGCTCTAAACGCCTGAGCTGAGGACATATAAGAGTACCGTCTTTTTCCGAGATCATCTCACTTACACTTGACTTCTTAATCCCGGTTTCTTTTATTAGTCTTTAAAGATGTTTGGTGTTACCTACAGCCACTGCCTTTACTACCTCTTTTGCTTTCGTTTCCCACCACTGCTCATGGCCGTTTTTTAGAATTTTGGTTAACCTAGATCTGATTTGTTTTCGCTTTTCATCGTGTTCATAGCCTGATGGGATGAGTTTACGAGAATCCATCAGTTCAATAGACTTAAAAGAAATCCATTGGTTTTTTGTAACCGTGTGGTTTAAATCACCAACAGATGTCGCTACTGTTTCCACAGCTTTTTGTATATCCTTCCAAGCAACATGTGGGTCAGCCTCGTTTTCAGAACTACCTAAGTGTGACCTTAGTTGTTCCTGGAATCTACTTTTGGTTTTCTCATCACTCAATTCAATCCCAATGGGTCTTCTTAGTGTGGCTTTTCTGCGTCCGATGAGGCGCAAGCGAATACGTACTCATATTAGAGCATGGTCGGAGTCCAAGCAGGCATTCCAGAATGAGCGAAAATCTCCTATTGACCCTTTCCAACGATGACTGATGGCAATATGGTTTATTTGAATCCATAGCTAGTTTGGTGCAGGTGGTCGCCTTGTTAGACAATATCTCTCCTTATACTTAGAATTAGTGTTTGCTAAAAATAAACGATTGTCTGAGGACAGTTGCATCAAACGATCACAATTATCTGTTCGCTGTGCCGCAATGCTAAAATACCGAACTCGACGTCTTTCTGTTTGTTTTAAGCTACCTGCCTAGACATTAATGTCACCTGCTACGAGTATTATGTCTGAGCGTTTAGCTTTCTAAAGAAGTTCAGAAAGTTTTCTGTAGAAGTCAACTTTCACTTCATCCGGGCTGCAGTTAGTGGGAGCGTAGACAAAAACGACGAAAAGGCAACGACGTATGTCCCTATCCTTCTAAGTTCTTATGGAGCCGTTTAGCCGAACAGCATGTAAACGACTGTTAACGGGGATCCACTCTAATAGTGCTTGCTTCTCCCTCGTATTTATTGCTATGCCTACACCTGCAAGTCCACGAGAACTAGCCACTGGATCTCCAGACACACGGAGGGTGTATCGTCGGCTCTCTGTTTTGGCGAGGTGAGGTCAAGTGAATGACCACACTAGGATCTTGTATGCGTGTTTCGGAGACACAGCACACATCAATGGTACGAGATTCTAGGGTTTTAGCTGAGGAGACCTGCTGATCGATTTGACATAGGGTGCGTATGTTGAAGGCTACAATGTGTAGTTTGGAGCGAGGTTTCATTAGCCCTGGACAGTGTTTTGCGCACTAGAATCATTGACCATAGTGACACTTGAGAAAGAAGTTCAGAGTTTGAAAGCCGAGGTAGGAGGAATAATAGAAATTGGAGAGGGAGATTAATTATGAGTACAGTGATCTCGAGTGCTATTAGAGGTTTGAGGGCGGTTATCACTTCCCGGTTGCCTACACCGTGGAAGGGTTCTTCTTGAGGTACCTGAAAATGAAATTACGTATGAGGTGGTCTTAGTGACCTGTGAGCGTGACCGCAGTGACCAAGGGCCAACTGCTAGAGGTCGGTCACACACGACCTTTTTTTGAGTGATATTCGTGTTATTTCCGTACTTGTTGAAACTTTACCACCGGAGACGGAAATGTGTGGGATAAGACGGTGTCCATTTTCAGGACCAATCTTCTCTAACCCCATCTTTCCTTGTGGGTAGGCAGCATCGCTGTTACGCTGGTTGTCTGAAGGAAACGTCTTACTGCCGTTACACCTCTGTAGTCAGCAGTAGGACCACCTTCAGACCTTGGTTTTGCTGCTTCTAGTCTTACCGCCCTTCAACCGATCTGTCTGGCGTGGTAGGACCTTGAGAAGCGATTGTTCCAGTCAGTACAGCTCGATTGCCTCATCACGATAGGCATACCCGACCACGTCAATGTAGCAATAACAGTCGGGCATCAAATTTCTGGTCTAGAATAACTTCACTACTTGCTGAGGCTAATCCAATTAGATAATAAACTAGGATAATATTTCCTGAGAACTCAAAAGTAATGTATGTTGTTTCTAGACTAACTTTGCGATGATGTTGATTGGTAAACCCAATCATCCTTAGGAAATACCAGTTTATGTTTCTCATCACAACCAAGTAGTTTATAATTTTCGTCATCGAAATGTAATTAAACTCTGTAGGAAGCCTAGAACTTCCAGTACAAATATAACTAAAAATCACTCCAATTTGACCTTTATAAGTTGTTTAAACTTGAAGCCTGCTTCATTTATTCTATACATATTTATAGAAAGCTGAGTAAAATGTGTATAATTGACGTAAATCAATATCCCATTTTTATCGGTCGCTGGTGATATTCTCGTGACGTTCTATTTTTCAGAGTCAATTAGATGGTATGTCAGTCAAATAAAAGGATCAAATCCTGAAGACATCGCTGATGGTAGGTTTCCTTTCGTCCCCAATGAATCGATTACTTAGGTGGTAACTTTACGTGTGTCGAGTTTAATAAGTCCGGAGAATTGTTAGCTACTGGTGATAAAGCAGGTCATGTTACGGTTTTTAAGAATAATAAAGATGTAGGTTTTTTTATCTTCACTATCAGTTTTCACTCTTAATTAGACTGGATTATATGATATTTATTGCACATTTACGAGTCATGAACCAGAATTCGACTACTTAAAATCTCTGGAGATCGAAGAGAAGATTAATTCAATTACTTGGCTTCAAACATACTCTTCTGCTCATCATCTTCTTTCAGCTAATGGTAAGTATCTGTTGATGTGTTTGATATGCATGATTAATTCGGCTGAAAATAGTGAGGTGATGTAATTTAGTTAATAGTTCTTTCGTCATTGGCGTAAACAAATCGTTGTATGTAGGTGTGTATGTAGACATATAAGCTTGGAAACGGATTTTCTGAATACGGGAGAAGTAAATAGAATTTTTTAAGAATTTTGTAGGAATAACTAAAGATCGGTCACAGGGATGTATCTGGATTCACTCTTGATTTATTATCTCTCCATATTTTGAGCTTAGGATTGTCTTATGCCTAGTTCATAAGAAGCCATCCCAAAGATCTTGATTTATCGTCATACACGAATTCAGTATGATTATCGTTTACTGCATAGCTCCAGGTAATAAACTCTCTCACCAATCTCTGATTATTCGGACTAGTTCCCTCTGATAGTCCCGAAGGACTCTTTATTGTTACATGTCCCCACTGTTTTGAACTTTCCTTATTCATCATTAATCATGATTGTTGTGTAGAATTTTGTCAACATACACTTATGTGTTGTATGTTAGTTTGTTGTTGAATATGTGAAAATATGAGAGCAAGCATCGATTAAAGAATCTCGTAACTAATTAATATGGAGTTTTTACTGAGACAAGCTAATGGTGATCTTATTTACTTTGAGTGCCCATAAACACTTATAAACAACAAGTTTTCCCACGTAGATGTCTTAATCAATTTAGAATTTACTAATTTGGACGTTGAGCTAATGACCTGAGACTATGCTATCACTTATAACTCGTCATAACCTTTCAGGATACTTCATCTTTTTTTATATTCTATCGAGATTAAATGAAATTTAGGTGTATTTATTGTAAACTGAGTCGAGGCACACACATTAAAGACAACAAATAGATAGTCTTTCGAGTGTTTAACCGAATCATTACTTAAATACTGTTCTTGTGGCTCTCATTTCTTAGTAGTTTGAGTTCTCTTTTCTGAATGATTATTTATTACATCAAAGCTTGCTTCAGTTTCAGCAAAAGTATTTTCCTACATTGTACCAACCAGTAGATACTTTGTAATGTTTTTGCTCTCTCATCTACTTTGAAATTCAGTGTTACATAAATCCTGCTTTATTTCCTGTCAATAGTTTTATGTTTTTTTTCACTGTTATTTAGATAAAACCATTAAACTGTGGAGATTATCAGAAAGACACTATGAAGCCTATAATTTTAATATACGTGACGATGAGAATGCTAGTTTATGGGATGAAAGCTCGGATCGACTGAATATGATCGGACCACCGATTCCTCACATAATTACTCCAGATAAACTGCGTATTCCGAAGTTTCGTAAATCTCGTCATCTTACAATCGAAGCCCGCCCACAACGTTTTTTTGCCAATGCTCATGCTTATCATATAAATGCGGTTTCTGTAAATTCTGATCAAGAAACATTTCTTTCGGCTGACGATTTACGCATTAATCTTTGGCATTTAGATGTATCCAACCAGTCATTTAGTATGTTTATTTACTAATTTTAAATTTCTAGAATTATATATCCATAATTTCACAAGTTGAAATCATGAGTCAGTTGAAGCTAGACCACCATTGAAAACCTGGAAGCACTGGACGGCCGTTTCGTCCTAGTATGGGACTCCTCAGCAGTGCGCATCCACGACCCCGCACCACCCGGGGCTCGAACCCAGGACCTACTGGCTTCGCGCGCGAGCACTTAACCATTAGACCACTGAGCCGGCATCCAACGGTGTTAATGTCTAACTTCAACCAATCCACGAAGTTGCGCTACCGTACACCATTGTCCTCAGTGAGTTCCTATCTCACAACAGACCTGGTTGAACTCCACTGGTAACGACTTCTCACTAGAACTCCAGAAGTGTCTCCTGAAGTCAGTCACTAGTGAGCAGGTGATTATTATTATCAGAATGGGTTTTGTGGAGATTTTAGAAATTTCACAAGTTGATAATTGATAATGAATGGACTTTTCCTGTATTTTTTTAATCTCAAATAATCTCGGTCAATGTAGACCATGATTCGAACATACAGATTCAGCCCAGGTTCCCTCACCACAATGTGAGATTAACCAGATATGTAGCAAGGAAGTTTAAATAATATTAGTGTTATTGATAATAAGACTAGATATGGGGAATATAGTCCGAAAAGGAATTGAATAAATGAATGTAAAGTATGAAACAGCGCCAAAATTTAGAATCTAGGAGGAAGTACAAAATAAATACATCCATATCACTGAAGTTAATTTCGAGTCATATCACAAATCTTACCATCTTTCAATTTTTAGGCAACAATTGCATTTTAATACATTTATTTATGCTATTCATTCAACACTTTATTTAGAAGGAAGTTAGTTCCCCGATACTCCTTCGTATTCATACTTATGTATAAAGTCACTAATTTTCCATTTTAAATTATGTGTTATTTGGTGCTTTTTTACTGTACAGCTTTTATGAAAGTCAAATGTTTACTTTTCCATTTCAAGTTTTGAAACCGAGGGTCCAGTTGCTAATTGTGGAACTAAAAATGACTAGTGCTCTAGGCTCCTAACAATCGAAACAGAAAGCCTTATTTTATGTTTTCTGAAGCGAGTTTTTCTTGATAAACATATGGGATGTCTTATATCTTCTACATAATTCCATTTAAGTGTATATGAATTTAATGAATAGTTCCACTGCTTGATAAGTCAGTATTTCTTGCCGAATTGGTAATGTGATACTATGCCCAGAGATTAGGCCCAGCAGTTAGATCTTGATTAGAGAATGAGTAACCTACGAACTGATTTCCTCCAACCGCCTGTAAAGTTTTATGCCCTGGTATGGCCGAGAGTGGGGTGGGTCCGCCCTCCCTCTCGAAATACTCTCACACGGCCACGCGTATATATCCTCTGCCTGGGAAGTTCTACTCACTGCCTTCTCGTGGCGGGGTTGTTGTTTACGAAAATGAGAGAACGAAAAGCGAATGTCCGGCGCTTTAACCGGATTCCAAATCAATGGTGCACATGGGCTCCAGTATCCTGCGGGAACAAATGGCGTATGAACCAATTTTCGGTCACCGGCTACCATCGGACTGCATCTCCTTACGATGCTCCACTGCCTTGTGGGTTAGACCTTTAGGTCGAAGGCTCGGGATGTGGCCCCCTAAGATAACCACCTGCTTCGGTCTGGGCATCCGGGCAGTATCACAGTCCACACGCAAATGATGAACTCTCTATATCTATGAAAACTACTTTAATCGCTTCGAATAACAATCAAATGATCCAAATTATTATCATTACTATTATTATTATTATTATTATTATTATTATTATTATTATTATTATTATTATTATTATTATTATTATTATTATTATTTACTACGACATTATTCACCCTCTTATATTCCTACTCTGTCTATACTTATTTTTTCGACTTATACAGCAGCTCGTCTTTGGTGGAAATTCGACTCTATCTCAATGTTCTCGAGTCACTGTCCAGTTGAAAATTGTATGTTACCACTGAATATGAGTACTGAAACAGTTTTCCTGAAACCGCGTGCACCATTCAAACTGGCTACCTTCAACGTTCGCACACTTATGCAGGTTGGACAACAGATAGGGCTGGCTATGTCTTTAGAAAGTCTTAATATCGATGTTTGCTGTCTATCTGAGACCCGTATTCAAGACTCTGGTGAAGTACTACAAATTCGCTCTTCATCTGTCTATTCGAATAGCTTGTTTTACGTGCGCTTATCCAGGGACCCCGTGGCATCTTCGTCTGGTCTTGCTGGCGTTGGTGTCGCACTAAGCGCTAGAGCTGAGGCAGCACTAATCGATTGGATCCCCATTAACAGTCGGTTATGTGCTGTTAGATTAGAGAGTTCCATCAAAGTGAGAAGAAATTGACGTGAGAAACGATGTCTTTTCGTCATCTCCGCCTATGCTCCGACAGATTGCAGCCCGGATGCAATCAAGAATGAGTTTTACCATCAGTTATCTGTTCTTCTCCAGATAGTGCATTCGACAGATATTGTAGTACTAGCCGGAGGCTTGAATTCTCAGGTCGGGCGTCTAGGCACAGAAGAGAGTCGTCTAGTTGGTCTCAGGACAGATAACGGGGACCGTCTACTACAACTATGCACAGACCACAACCTGTTTTCGGGTAGCACTAACTTTCGGCACAGTCATCGCCGATGTGCCACCTGGCGTCCTCCTTCTGCATCTCAAGCCTGGACTCAGATTGATCACATCGCGATCAGCTACCACTGGCGTGGTTGTGTAAAAGACTGCCGCTCTTTTTGGAGTACCTATCTGGACTCCGATCATGCCCTGGTCTGCGCCAATCTTACCTTACTTTTCAGTGGCCAACGAAGTGACCACCACCAAAGGATTGATGTCAACAGGTTGGTTGCAACTTCTGTTGCAAGTAAGTATCGAACCAAGCTAGCTGCTAGGCTAGCTACCATTCCACCGAAAAGTATAGATGAGCATTGGTTGCAACTGCATGACGCCATGAAAATGGCGAGCAAAGCCGCTTGCGGCTTCGCGAAACGTCCCGCTTACAAGCACTGGGTTTCTTCTGGTTCCTTACAACTCATCGAAGCCCGTCGGTCTACTCCGGGGAACCGTGAGTTTAACCACAAACGAAGGATGTTACGTAAGGAAATCGGGCAAAGCTTGCGTAAGGACCGAGAAGCCTGGTGGTCGGAGCGTGCTAATGAGCAGCTGCTGCATCTGGTAACTACCGGAAGCTCTTCCAACTCATCCGAGGCACTGGCAGCAAGAAGTTTGGTGTGAGTGAAACAATCTGCGAGGATGATGGGATGCCAATCACGAACATCCATCGACGTCTTGGACGATGGGCAGAATTTTTCGAAGGGCAGTTCAACTGGTCTGCTGCTCCGGCAACATCGGTCAGACTGTCCTGCCCTCCATGGCCGGTGACGATTGAACCACCAAACGAGGAGGAAGTCCGCAAGGAACTCCAACTCTTGAAGCGTTACAAATCACCTGGCCCAGATGACTTACCTCTGGCTCTTTTTAAAGATGGTGGTGACTTTTTGACTAAGGAATTGACGACGTTGTTTACAAAGAATTGGGAACTAGAGAGTGTACCAACGTCATGGAATGAGTCGATAGTTGTCCCTATCTTTAAAAAGGGTTCACGTCGTTCCTGCAACAACTATCGGGGGATAAGTCTACTTCCGATTGCGTCCAAGCTATTGACTTCCGTCATACTTCGTAGGTTGTTCAAAACCCGAGAAAGATTGACTCGCGAGGAGCAGGCTGGGTTTCGTTCTGGTCGAGGATGTATTGATCATATCTTCACCCCCCGCCAAATGTTAGAAAACCGTCATACTTATCAAAGGCCAACAATCGTAGTGTTTTTTGACATCAGGACTGCCTTCGATTCGTTGGATAGGACTGTTCTGTGGGATTGTCTATTGAAGAAGGGTGTGCCTGAGAAGTTTATTAACATCCTAAAAGCCCTGCATACAAACACCTCAGGCAGAGTGAGGGCATACAACCACCTTTCTCCATTGTTCCATTAGAGCAGTGGGGTTAGGCAGGGTTGCCCAATCTCACCATTCCTCTTCAACTTTGTCATCGATGACATTCTGGAAACAGCTCTGATGGGTGTAAGTAATGGTGGTGTGGATCTGTTGCCCGGAGAAAGACTTCTCGATTTTGAGTATGCGGATGATATTGTCTTACTGTGCGATAATGCCAAAGGCATGCAATCCGCACTTAATCAGTTGGCAATCAGTGTCCGTAGGTACGGTATGAGCTTTGCACCTTCGAAGTGAAAAGTACTTCTACAAGACTGGCAGGATTCTAATCATGTACTCACTCTGGATGTTGAGCAGATAGAAGTAGTCGAGAAGTTCTTGTATCTGGGTAGCTGCATAAGTGCTGGTGGTTGCGTGAGTGATGAGATCAATGCACGTATAGTGAGAGATGGTGCAACGCAGTGGCTAGAGACGTTATCAGATATGGCTCAGAATAGAAGCCAGTGGCTATCCTGCTGTAACCGTCTTTTACTTCATAAAAACGTGGTTGTGTCTCCCTTAACTGAAAGATTTCTTCTGATTGAACCTTTCCGTTCCCCCATTTATACCATTATCATTATTACACCACCTTACATCAATCTCTTCGTTATTATTCTCTCTTGTTTTTCCCTTCCCCTTAAATTCTCATTGTTTTGTGTGGCGCATATATATTGGCGCTCTCTTGTACCAATATTTATGTGTTCAAATAAATAAATAATAAAATAATTTTTCATATTCTTTATATATAAATGTTATTTTATTTCTTAAAACTCATCTAGTTAGTGGTCTTATCTCTTGCCTTTGACTTCCAATTATTCGGAGACTTAAGTCAATAGTACGGTTTCGTAAGTAGTCTTCGCTTGACCATATTATACTTTTGGGTGCATTTATCGGTTAGCATTCTGTTCATTGATTTTAATAATAGGAAATTTCGTCTAAATAAATCACGGCAAACTTCTTCCGTAACAGAATGGAATCTAATATCTCATTAGTTTTTGCTAAAATATTGATTGAAACATTGTTGTATGAGTCCTAGCAAGCTGATTTACTAACAACATCCTCTTTTTTATGAAGAATTTGCTTAAGTGCGGATGAAAAGTACAGATAGCACTATGGATAATTGAACTTAGTCGGTTTATCCAAATGTCCGAACAGATTCAATGATTTATTCCAAAGCATATCAAACAAATATCTTCCTTCTTTTATATAGTTTATTTATCGATTTAATAAAACAACAGCCGGTTATGCGTGCATATAGTAGTGATTTAAGTATAGAGCAGATTTTCTAATAAATGTATATGTTCAACAACCCAATTATCTGGACTTATGGTTTAAATCTTGATAAACTTTAAGTTACTTATGTAGTCATGCGTATATTTTTGTGTATCAGTTTTCAGTGTCCTCTCTAAAATGGTCAATCATTGCTTATTATTAGTGTTAATAAATAGCTATTTCTTGGCGTAACAATTAAACAGTAGTAATAACTCTCGCTGTATATTGTTCGAAACATAACTAAATCTAGGTTTTGTTCACGTTTGTATTCAAACTCCAAGTAATTTCAACTTTATTCAAGTGAAATAGTATTTTATACTGACTTGTTTAATAAACAGGAATCACTGTGAATTATTGAGTAATGGAAAACTAAAAGAAAGTCAAAGTGATTAAATTGAATGCAGAAAGTAATTTGAGTGTGAATAAGTGTTACAATTCAATTGTAATCATACCAAACTGGTGTACTCCAAAGGCTAAATAATTGGGTTTCAAAAACAAGGAATAAATTATTGTTTCCAATAAATTATTTTTCAAACTTAACAGTTACAAATCCTTAAAGTGTGCTAGTATATGTGGTCAGAATAGGTCAGCATGTAACATTGTACAGTTTTAGCCACAGTTCGCACTATCGTATGATTCAGTGGTTTGAACAGGTTATGAATAAAAAACCTATCATCAATAGTCCTGAATGCATCATGTTTTCTTCCTATTCTTTTAATTGTTAATACTCTCGTTGTTTTGATTTACTGTTTTCTAGCTATTGTCGATTTAAAACCGTCAAATATGGAGGATTTAAGTGAAGTCATTACTTGTTCACGGTTTCACCCTGTTCAATGTAATATACTAGCCTATTCAACTAGTCGAGGTTTGATTCGGTTATGTGATATGCGATATCGTGCTCTATGTGATGATCATGTACTTGGTAAGCTGTTCCATACATAATGAAGTCGATTTACGTGTGAAATGTAAATATATACATGGTGTAATGCTTACATTTTTAAATTGTCACTCTATAATGTTTGAAATAATAATTCATTAAAGCCATAAATTATTTACAGTGTCCTTAAACCCTGATTCTTTCTTACTCCTTAACTTGTGAAATATACATGGTCAGTGTGTGTTCACTGAAGGTATCATGGCATTAATCTGACATAATTACTCTACAGTCTCGACGAAATAACCTACAAGTAACTCACTACTATCACAGTTTTTGTTAGTTTGTCAACTATTCTAACTTGCTTTATAAATTTTGAAAAAATTCAAAGGAACTTACGTTTAAGAATATGACTTTGGTCTGTTATGAGATATTTCATTTATTTATTTTTCCCACCAAACATATCAAATGACCAAAGGTGTATTAAAAGATAAATATTTACTTGCGATTGTTTGATTGTAAATCAACAGGCAACAATATGCATTAGTTTTTTTAAACTGTCATTACGGTTTTTCTTAATTATATCTTTTACCAGGGGAGGTGTTTATTTCAAAACATGAATTGTCTATAGTCGAGTATTTAGATAACATCGTTCAAAATCATAAGCAGAATAGAGGAGACACAATTATCCATTAATTATAATACTACAAATCTTATTATTGTCATGTATTCTATCTTATTTTGTTCGTTACTTTGAAATAATGTGTTATGTTTTCACTATCACTGATATTCTAATTTCAACCACTTCACTTTTAATTTTGTGGTAGCATAGTTCAGTATATAACTGTGGACCTATTTCAGGCCTAACTTTATTTGTGGATCAATTTGATTCGTTGATATGACATATAAAAGCAATGCTTAACGATTGTTTCTCATGGAATAACTAAAATAGTTCGTCAGTCTAGTAAAAATCTGTCAGGAACCGAAGTTCTTATAAATTCGATGCAGAGGTCTGAGAAGTCAACTTTAATATTGGAACCCTATTGACATGAATTATTTACCTAGGCTTTTTGTACATTTGGATTTCGGTTCGCACTGAGGCACTAGATGGGGATTTCGTTCTTTTTGGACTCGTCAGATAGATCCATGTAAAACTCAGTGTTGATGGGCAAAGTGAGGCTTAAACCCATTTTTTTATTAATTCAAGCTCGAAAGCGCTGTTGTCTAAGCTACTAGGACCAGAAAGCCATTAATTTTATACCGGGTTAGAATTAACAAAGATTAAACTTCTAGACAGGCGAAGATTCTCACCCAAATACACTGATACGCCCGAGAGTGGAGAGAGTCAGCTCTCTCTTTGAATGCTCTCACATGGCCGAGTACATACGACCACTGCCAGGGAAGTCCTACTCATTGCCTTCTCGCAGTAGGGGTGTTGTTTATCAAATTAAGAGAACAAAAAGCGAATGTTCAGCGCTTTAACAATAACGACTGGTAGATTACTTTTCTCTTCTTTAATGCTCGAAGAATTAACTAGTTTGGCGGCAATCAACGCCACATCAGAATTACTGTTCTAATAGGTATATGCTTCTTCAAATGAGTATAGTCTGTGGACCCTGATTAAGTTGATGCCTATATAAAATCCGTTTATCCTGAACACTGCACTTGTTGGTTAGAGGAAGGTCACCAACTGAACAGAAGGTCATCAGTCCGACAACCATAAAAAGAAATAGTCACGATTGAAATGTGTTAAGAAACTTAACCATCACCATCTGAGAAGTTTATTAACATCCTAAAAGCCCTGTATACAAATACCTCAGGCAGAGTGAGGGCATACAACCACCTTTCTCCATTGTTCCATTAGAGCAGTGGGGTTAGGCAGGGTTGCCCAACCTCATCATTCCTCTTCAACTTTGTCATCGATGACATTCTGGAAACAGCTCTGATGGGTGTAAGTCATGGTGGTGTGGATCTGTTGCCCGGAGAAAGACTTCTCGATTTTGAGTATGCGGATGATATTGTCTTACTGTGCGATAATGCCAAAGGCATGCAATCCGCACTTAATCAGTTGGCAATCAGTGTCCGTAGGTACGGTATGAGCTTTGCACCTTCGAAGTGAAAAGTACTTCTACAAGACTGGCAGGATTCTAATCATGTACTCACTCTGGATGTTGAGCAGATAGAAGTAGTCGAGAAGTTCTTGTATCTGGGTAGCTGCATAAGTGCTGGTGGTTGCGTGAGTGATGAGATCAATGCACGTATAGTGAAAGCCAGAGCGGCTTATGCCAATCTGGGTCACCTTTGGCGCCTTCGTGATGTTAGTCTGGCTGTAAAAGGTCGGATCTACAACGCGTCGGTGAGAGCAGTTTTGTTTCATGCTTGTGAAACCTAGCCTCTGCGAGTTGAGGACGTTAGACGACTTTCTGTGTTCGATCATCGTTGTCTCCGGAGGATTGCTGACATCCAGTGGCAACACCATGTTAGTAATGCAGAGGTTCGGCATCGTGTGTTCGGGCACAGAGATGATAATCCAATTGGTGTCACCATTTTGAAACATCGACTTCGGTGACTTGGACATGTTCTACGAATGTCGTTCCGGAGAAGTCCACGTCGTGCATTATTTGCCGACTCTGGGACTGGTTGGAAGAAGCGGAGAGGTGGTCAGTGCATGACGTGGTGTCGCGGTATAAAAGAAAGTTGCAAAGGACTGGCTTGTGTTAGTCCTTCACGACTCCCTGGTTGGGGTCCGAGAGATGGTGCAACGCAGTGGCTAGAGACGTTATCAGATATGGCTCAGAATAGAAGCCAGTGGCTATCCTGCTGTAACCGTCTTTTACTTCATAAAAACGTGGTTGTGTCTCCCTTAACTGAAAGATTTCTTCTGATTGAACCTTTCCGTTCCCCCATTTATACCATTATCATTATTACACCACCTTACATCAATCTCTTCGTTATTATACTCTCATGTTTTCCCCTTCCCCTTAAATTCTCATTGTTTTGTGTGGCGCATATATTTTGGCGCTCTCTTGTACCAATATTTATGTGTTCAAATAAATAATTAAACAAATAAGGAAGGAAAGGAAGAAAGAAAAAATCACAAGAAGCCCAACAGGAAGCAGAAACTCTTGTGTTCTTATGGAAGCATAAGAACTAAATTGCTAAATACATTATGTTTCTTCTCAATGATTTTTATAGTCTCTTCGTCGACTTTCAAACTGAGTTTTTTTGGAATCCATTACTGAATACCAACAATAAGTATAATACATATCATTCCGAATGTTTGCCATCATAGCACTTGATTAAAGGTTTATTTTTTTATTTTTTCTACCGAACACTTACAACTTTACCTGCGTTGTTGACTTTTACGTATTTTAGTGTTTGAGGATCCAAGTCTTTCACAAAATCTGGGATTTTTCGCCGATATTATTGCAAGTTTATCAGAT